ACTTCAGAATTGCATTTAAATACATGGATGGCGATATACTAAAGAAATTGTTTATGACTTTTGTTAGGCCAAAGCTAGAATATGCAGTTGTTGTGTGGTGCTCATATCTTAAGAAGCACATCAACAAACTGGAAAAGGTGCAAAGACATGCTACGAAGTGGCTCCCAGAACTGAAGGGCAAGAGCTACGAGGAGAGGTTGTAAGCATTAAACATGCCAAAACTAGAAGACAGAAGAAAAAGAGGTGATATGATCACTACATACAAAATAGTAACAGGAATTGATAAAATCGACAGGGAAGATTTCCTGAGACCTGGCACTTCAAGAACAAGAGGTCATAGATTTAAACTAGCTAAACACAGATGCCGAAGAAATATAAGAAAATTCACCTTCGCAAATAGAGTGGTAGACGGTTGGAATAAGTTAAGTGAGAAGGTGGTGGAGGCCAAGACTGTCAGTAGTTTCAAAGCGTTATATGACAAAGAGTGCTGGGAAGACGGGACACCACGAGCGTAGCTCTCATCCTGTAACTACACTTAGGTAATTACACTTAGGTAATTACCTGTTGATAGATGGTTGAGAGGCAGGACCAAGGAGCCAGAGCTCAACCCCCACAAGCACAACTAGGTGAGGACATATATTGTAAAAGCACAAGTCGCCGACTAGTGGCAGAGAGCACTACGCCGGCCAGGCAAAGAAGGCACAAAACTGCATCAAAAGGCCCACCTCAACAGCAAAACCACAAAGTCCCAGCACAACCACAACATGTGCCAAGACCCAAAAAGATCAGTCTGCAAGCCAGGAAGACCCCGGAACCCCAAAAGGCAGAACCGGGTCACACGAGGAAACAAAGTCCCCTGAACCCACAAAAGGGGGCCCAAGAGGAAGAAACCTCCAGAACGAAACCAAGGAACCCAAAGGAACCCAGAATCGAACCAGGGGGAGCCCAAACCACCACATTTGCCGGCGGAGAACACCACTGAAAGGCAAAGCACAGCCCCCAGCAGTGTGCCGGGGAAAACGGCCCCAACAGACCGAAAACCGAGAGGCAAGGTGTGGGAGCAAGCATACCAGCCAGGGGCACCGAGCCTAAACCCACAGGCTCAGACCCAAAATCAACACCCAAACGTTCCCAGAGGAACAGGCAACGGCAAGAAAACACCAGAAAAACAAAGAAACGACAACAGGAGAACAAAAACCCTGACAAAAATTTGAAAACTCACCAGAGACGCTCGCTCGCACACCCAGACGCATGTAAACAAACCGCAACGCCGCCCTGGTGTCCACGCCGTGAAACCGGCAGACGAAAATGGCCGCCAGCAGGGGCTGTGACTGACGCTAAATACACAAAAACACGCCAGCAAATGTGGGAAGCTAGCAGACTGGATGGGCGAAAAACGTCGCCCAACAGCAGAAAAACCCCGGAAGGGGCAAAACCGCCCCAGAACTGCTAGCAGGCAACCCCCACAGCCCCGGGAACCAACAACAGAGGCCCCGGGGCAGAGCCGTCCTCCAAGCCCTCCGCCCTTACAGAAAAGCAAGAGTCCATGGGAAAGGCAACAAGAAAGGGCCGCTGGTAAGACCCAGAAGCCTTGGCAGGAGGCACAGGCTCAAACCTCCGTCCCCAACCCGAACTGGGCAGCCCCCGAAAACTGCCCAAGTCTCTGCCGCAACTAAACCCCGCCCCGACCCCGAAACCCGCAGACGGTCCGGAGCCGGGAACATGGAGAGAAAGGGGCGAGCAGCACCTAACCAAACGGGGCGGCCACGGGGCATTCGAGTGGGAAACCAACCTAGCATGTTGCAGCAACCTAACCTAGCTTGCAACACGGATGCCGCCTGTACTCTGAACAGTAATAACATCAGGAGAGTACTGGAGAACAAGCAGAGAATCACTCGCAAGACTCCGGGTCAAGGTGTCAGTGACCCAACAGGCAGCATGACGGAGGTAAAAATGGCGACTGTCACCCGGAGACAAGGGAACAGCAAGCAACGATCCTGTACAAGACGGGTTGGAACCCGGAAGACACAATCAATGGTCCCCCGAGCCCAGACAGGGGTTTCCAGGGCCCGTAGGGTAACAACTACGGGAAGCCCGGGCAAGGTGTTGCTAACCGGTTAAGAAACCCAAGCATAACAAGAGGGTAGATTATAGCACTGAAAACCCCTGAGACGTGTACAAGCACGGGGGCCTAGCAGAGGGCCGCCAAACACTACCAGTGGAACTATAACCACCTTAGGCAGACCCCCACCAGGCATGAAAAATGAAAAACAAAAGAAAAACCCCGCAAAAGTACACCGTCTCCAGAGGCAACAGAAACCGGCCGCCGCTTAGGTGGCAGCCAGCGCAACACCTTGACGCCCTAACCAGCACAATACCAATCCCTACCCAGGGCCAAACAAGGGCCCCAAGCCCCAGCTGGCCCCAAGGGCGAGGCAAATGCCGAGCAGCAAGAACCTCTACGGGAATGGTTCCCGAACGCCCCAGGGAAGATAACCCTGTTACGCAAGGGCAGTACTCACAGGGCGCTTAGGGAAGTCAGCCACTAAGCACATGCAGCCCCGGCACTGATGAAGTACTCCTGGCCACCGCACAACACAACACACGGCAGTGAACGCCACACAAGGCAAAGACCGCCTAGGAAACTGAGGCCAGAGAAGCGTCAATCCCGGTTGTCATTAGCGAACGAACTGGAGCTTGGCAGCCGGCGCGGTAGGTCCGGGGCTCCCCCCTCCCCCTCCCGGGGTGGGGAGGGCTGCGCGGACGATCGGCGCGGCAGTAAAGTGTGATGTTTGCTTGTTTGCTAGTTTCCTTGGGATTGTACGGAGTTTTCTACCTCTCTGTTCGGTTTTTGTTGTAGTTTCTTACCATGTGGGGTTTGTTTTGTTACGCCTACCTTTCTGGGTGCCTAACCCCGGTCGATGGCAGATAAGGAAAACCCCCAGCCATATGGGGTTTTCCAGGGCCATTGCTCCCTGAAACCTCTCTGAAGGGGCCAGGTTCTGGCGCTGGTCCCTGGTAGGTCTGAACTCCTTAGCTAATGTCCCGGTCTAACATAACATACATTAGCCCGATAAGCTCCAGGGAGCCGTAGGGGCTCCCCACAGAAAAAGCCCCGCTCTAAGGGTTGGAAAACCCAGGCGAAGTCCAACGGAGCCCAAGGCCCCCAAGTCAGCCTCTCCCCAACCCCAGGAACCTTCACATCAGGCCCCGGGGACCAGTCATCCTCCAAAGCCCCAGTCACACAAAAAAAAGCCGGATGGAAGGGGGCCCACTGGTCAGACCCCATCTCCAGGGCTGGAGGAACCAACTCGAATGCTTCCATCGCCACCCCTGGTAGGGGCAACCCTCGAAACTACCATCTCAGAATCCTCTAAACCCCACCCTGACCCCGAAGCCTTCAGATGCTTAGGAGCCGGAAGGAAGGGGGGGAGCCAAAATTAACTACAGTAGGGGTAAGAATGAGGGGGTTGCAGACTGAACCAAGGCTGAAGCGACCAACACCCCCCAAGTCCGGGTCCCAATAAGCAAAATGGGGCAGCCTCAGGGCTTCTGGGGAAGCAACTAACCTAGCACGTTGCAGCAACCTATATCTAGCATTTAAGGCCTGAGCTGCCTGCACCCAAATAAAGTCATCAGGTGATTGGGTGAATTGAGTCACAAACAAGCAACAATGCTCGCAGGACTCAGGGTCATAGGTGTCACCGACCCAGTAGACAGCATGACGGAGGCAAAAACAACGAACGTCGCCTTGAGACAAGAGGCCAGAGCAACCCTAAAACTTGCACAAGGCGAGAGGGGACCCAGGGGTTGCATCCATCGAACCTCGTGCCTCCTCCCCCCCCCCTCCGCAGCAGGGTTGTCCAGGGCCCTTAGACTGTTATCACTAAGGGTAAGTCCAGGCAGGGTACTGCTAACCAGCACCCAAGTCTACCAAACAATCTTCTAAAACTGAACCCCAGGAACTGGGGGTTCAGTTTTAGATTCCACTCATAGGGGCCAAGCTGAGGGTACCACCAAACACAGGAGGTCAAGACCCTAATATAACTTGGGGTAGGGGGAACAAAAGCAGATCCCCCACCAAGCGGAAACCAAAATGAAAAGGAAAAATCCCACAAGAGGACAACGTACCCAGGAGGAACAGAGCCAGCCACTGTAACAGGTGAAAACTAGCTGCACAGTACCCCAGCCCCTACCAATGCAAAAACTACCACTTACCACAAGGTAAACAAGTGAGGAGGAAACCCCCCCCAACACGCCCAGGGCTGTTAATTACCGAGCAGCAAGAGACCAACAGAGGTAGACCCCAAGATGACTTATGGAAGATAACCCCAAGCCCCAAGGGCAGTACTTACAGAGCACTCAGGGAAGGGAACCCTAAGCACATGCAGCCCGAGTACCTGTGAATATTACTCCCAGCTCGCACGCCACCATAAGAGCAGTACTGGACGTAAGGCACTGCACAACACAGAGAATCAGGAGCTGGAGCCACACGACTGAGCCTCAAACACACCAGCCGAGAACTGGGGTGTGGACAGCCGGTGCGAGAGATCTGGGGCTCCTCCCCAGGAGGGGGGGGGAACTGTGCAGACAAGTGGCGCGGCACGCGTGACGTCATGCTCATTTTTAACTGTGGAGTTCTGTCCACTCGTTAGTTTTCAGTAGTAGTTTTAACCAGAATAGGGGTTTGTTTTGAGGAGCTTACCTTTCTGGGTGCCTGGCCCAGTCGATGGCAGGCACAGATTGCTCAAAATCACATGTGCACTTCTATAGGCCATTGCTCCTCATGCCTCTCTGAATGGGGCCAGGTTCTGGCTCATGGTTCCTGGTAGGCCTAGAACTCCATTCACACTGACTAATGCCAAAGTCTAATAATATACATATCAGCCTGGATAGCTCTGGGGAGCCAAAGGGGCTCCTCCCAGAAATAATCCAAGAAAATTAGAAATTTACAATATTGAAGTTTGAAGTAAATACATGTACATATTTATAAATCTTACCATCATTTTGCAAATATGTAAAAGGTGATTCTTCCTCTTGAGAATGAAGATCGGGTTTTGTTAAAGGTTGTGATGAATCTGCTACAAATGAATAATTTTTATGACATAAAATAAGCAACCCTTTGGCCATTTCATCTAATGAGCAGTATTCTATGGTACCCTCTCCTGCAACAGTTCTAGTGCGGGTTAGTTCCCAAGAAACACCTGAAAGATAAAAAAAAGAGAAATATCTGATTATATTACATTACATAATGGACAGGCAAAGACACCGGACTTACCCAAGGCGAGGGCCACCACAAGCGAGGAGGACCTCTAAAGGAGTGTCTCCCAAACACACCAGGGAAGACAGCCCAGGCACCGCAAGGGCAGCTCTAGGAAGCGAACAGGGAAGAGAGCCCTGAGAACATTCAGCTCCATGTACTCTTAACTCCTGGCCCACATTACACGTGTGTGTAAGGCACAGCCTCCAAGCAAAACACCACTAACAAGAAATACACATAGCCCAGAGCATCAGAGGGGATGACCCAGAACACATTACCGTCAGAGGAGAACTGATAGTGGAGCTGCCGACTGATCGTGGCCGTGGGGGGAAAGAAACTCTGAGCTCCAGGGCCAGATTCACGACGCAGTTACGCAAGCACTTACGAACCTGTACAATCTCAATCTTTCTCAATCTTTGACAGCTTAGTTTACAATTATTAAACAGTTAATGAGCTCCGAAGCACCAGGAGGCTGCTTATAACAATAACAACAGTTGATTGGGAAGTTTTAACCCTTAACATGCTAGGGGTATAATATCCTTTCTTCCCCATAGGTGCATGTAATTTTGAAAAAAAAAAAAAAATTATTTTTTCTTCCTAACCTGTTAATTTGTGTTCACTGATTACGGGAAAAATAATAAAAAAATCGTAAGTGGCATATATTGCCCGCTATAGGGCGAGGAAGTCTGGCAAAAAATAGGTGCTGACTCAGCGTGCGTCCCAGGAGGTCTGTTGCTCGCCAGCTGTCAGGCCGGAGTTGCCACAAAGAGATAATTACCTAATTACTTCAATGTCTCTGATTGATTTTTCATAGTTTTTTTGCTGTAATATTATTCAATAGTGTGTAGTTTGATATATTTATATAATAAAATGAGTGAATCATTGCTGTACTCAAAAATATGGTGTGCATATTGTTGATTCAATTATGTTCATCAATCAGTGAACAAATACTTTGTCGGTTATTACACTATAAGCACAGGTTATATATAAGTATCTGCATGTTCTGTTCACTATAACGAACCACTAAGTAGCTATTATGAGTCAAAAAGTAACGAGGAGTGACCGCCGTGTACCAGCCAGCCACTCCCGCCCTCCCTCCAGTCATCTGACTCACCCACATTCTCCTCCCACAATACTGTTTTTGCTATAATTCACTATATACAGACGTCATATATAAGTATCTACATGTTTTGTTCACCATAACTGTACATCTAAGCTTGTATGGTGAGTAAAGGCACAAAGACGTAGGACCTCACACAGTCAGCTGATGGCTGTCGCCCTCAAGGCCAGACGCACTAATATTTCTCCTCCAACAATACTGTGTGGTGTTATTATGCTATATACGCACATTATATATAAATATCTACCTGTTTTATTCACCATACTTGTACAAATAAACCGGTATGGTGCCCAAAGACCATCGTGGTAACCAGTAAACAACACCGTCGTCTGCACGGTGGCGTCGTGCTGACAACGCCACCGCCCTCACCAAAATGGCGGCTCCCAACCTTCTCTTGCTGTTTATACCCTCTATACACACGTTATATATAAGTATCTACATTTGTGTTCACCATAGCAAACCACTAAGCTGGTATGGTGAGTGCAGTCAATAAAAGGTGGCCACACACAGTCAGAAGACAATACCACCACCCTTTCTCCCACAGCATTACTCCTCCCTCAATGGCGCACAGCGCTAAATATCACCACACTCCTGCTATTATCAGAACCCTGGTCAGTTTTATCACAGTCAGGGGTCTTCTGTAATAATACCATCGCTACATAATAGCATGAACAAGTATATTTTGGCATTTTTAGGCGATGCTGTGGTCACGAGCTGAACAGCAGTGCTGTTAGCTCATGCTGCGTGCGTCAGGTTTGGTTGCTCACTCAATACTGAGGCCAATAACACCCCGGGAGTTTGGCCCACGATTTTTTTTTTTTAAATGGGGTCTGTTTACAAGAGCCCTGATGAAGGTGTGGTGAACCCCATGTATTCGCGGGCTGTTTAAATCTTGCGTAGTACTCCAACACGTCATATGACGTGATGCACAGTTGACTGGAACAACGTCCAACACGTCATATGACGTGATGCGCACTTTAAGGGTTAATGCTTGTAAACTGTTTAATAAATATAACCAAAGCCGTCAAAGATTGAAGAAAGATGTACACTTTCATAAGTACTTGCATAACTTCTTCATGAATCTGGCCCAGGTCTTCCACAGCCTTTCAAGTCAATTCTGAAACAGATGTGAAGATCACAAAAAAATACTAACCAAAGAACTTGGAAGAGGTGTGGGAGGGAATCAGGGAGCCAACAGGGATCATCCTGAAAGAGGCTTTTCATTACATTCAATGCTGGTTTTCTGGGTAAGCCTCTTGTGGCTCCCTGAACTTCCCGAACATACAGAGAGGAAAGATAAGGAACTCACCAGCAAGAAGAGACAGCATATAATCAAGAACGAACAGGAGACAACAAGTTGAGAGAGACAACCCAAGGCAACACAGGCAGGACGAGGTATGGGAACAAGAGCTAAACAAAGAACCATCAAGACCCCTGTAAGACAGGGAAAAACCCTAGTGGTCAAATATCAACCAAGAACATAAAGAGAGCAGCACGTTAATGAATGTCATGGGCACGAACGAAATCATAGGATGGCTCGAATTAATGACTGAGAAACACAAGCCTTGGAACAGAGAACCAAGGAAGAAGGACCAACCTACAAAACATCAACTGAAGCAGAATCGTTGGCTTGAAAGTAGTAGCAAAGAACCACCACAGGGCACAGCACATGATGCATCCGCAGCTGAACCAAACAAGCATCAACAACTAAGGATCATTCTGTAAGTCCACTGACTCATTCTTTACCAGAAAAGAAGACAGCTACAATGAACATAACACTAAGATGAAACAAACAAAATCCACACCTCTGGTGAAGAGCATGCAGCTCCCCAACCCTACAATCAAAAACACTCCCAACCCGAGGAAAGACCACCGGCTTACCTTAACCCCTTTGGCCACTAAGGGTCATAATGGCTTCAACACCCACAGGCGCAACAAAAAACAAAAATCCAAAAAATTCTTTCGTCTGATAAAAGTGTTCATTTGTGTTCCCTGATCACGGAAAAGTAACAAAAGAATCGTAGGTGGCATATTTTGGCCACAATCGGGTAGGGAAGTCTGGCAAAAAACCAGCGTTGAATGTAATGAAACGCCATTTTCTGGGTGAGCCCCGGGCGCTCCCTGGAGCTTATCGGGCTAATGTATGTTATATTAGACCGGGACATTAGCTAAGGAGTTCAGATCTACCAGGGACCAGCGCCAGAACCTGGCCCCTTCAGAGAGGTTTCAGGGAGTAATGGCTTTGGAAAACCCTCTTGTGGTTGGAGTTTTCCTTATCTGCCATCGACCAGGGTTAGGCACCCAGAAAGGTAGGCATAACAAAACAAACCCCACATGGTAAAAAACTAAAACAAAAAAACGAACAGAGAGGTAGAAACTCCTTACAATCCATAGGAAACAAGCAAACAAGCAAACATCACACTTTACTGCCAAGCCGATCGTCTGCGCAGCCCTCCCTGCCCCGAGAAGGGGAGGGGGGAGCCCCGGACCTCACCGCGCCGGCTGCCTAGCATCAGTTCGGAAGCTAAGCTTCAACCAACACGAAAAAAACGCCGACCGGTGGGAGGGAAAGTTGCCAGAGAGCCTCCGGGGCTCACCCAGAAATGGCGTTTCATTACAATCATCACTGGTTTTCTGTTGGGAACCCCTATGGCTCCTTGGAGCTTCATACCCAAAGAGAAGGAAAAGAAAGGGCTGACCCGGGAGGTGGCCGCCACAAACTCTGCAAAGCGAAGCCGAGACAACAAGCTGAAACCTGGGACCCAAGGCAACAAGAACACACAGGAGCAGACATGCGCATAAAGAATGGGCAGCCAAGAACCTGTGCGACCCTCAAATCCCTGCGCCCGAAATGAGCCCAAGACGTTACCAACACAGCAGCGAAAGCTGCAAACATCCGAACAGCACAGGCGCAAGGACAGACCGCAGGCTGGAAGACTTAAAAACTCTGCGAACGACCTGGCAGACCCGAACCCTGAAACAGGGAACGAGGGGAACCGGATCAACCCAAAGCGCATCCCCAGTCACGGTACGCAGGTAACAGCAAAAAAATGCAACCCGGACAACACAGGACGCACCCCCGGTCGAACCAATCAAGCATCAATAACCCTTGGACCCCTCCGGAAAGCAGCCGTCTCGACCGTCGCCAGAAGGACGGAGAAAGGCTGCAAATGTACAAACCTACCACCAGTACCAAAGAGCAGAAACCTGATCCGAAGGGGCTACCACAAACTGAGATGATAAGAAGGCACCCTGATCAAGGACCAGGAAGGCTCAGGCGACGCATGAGCAGGTCGGAGGTGAAACAAAACACGAGAAAGCGTACGAAACGGGGCAGATGTGACGTCCACCCCGAACGCAAGCTGGAGCGACTCCGCCAGCGCCGCACAAAACGAGGCGACAGTAAGAAACATCAAATAACTTTAGCTCTGAAAACTCAAGAAAGGACAAGACAACTCGATGCAAAAGAGAAGACAACCTACGAAGAGCAAGAAAAAGGTGCATAGAAACACCAGGAACGTCATACTGTCTCCGAGACGAAGCTCGCAGGTGGGACACCATCAACAAAGCCACCTGATCACCACAGAGATGGTGATACCCACGTCAATATACCAGACGCGAAGAGCCGAGGAGAAGGCCAAACCAGTCACGTACAAGACCGGTCCGACCTGCCGAAAGAGGTAGAGATGCAGGAAAACGCCCCGGGTTCGGACACCTATCAAGCAGCGTCTGAAAATAAAGCTGGGCCGGCTACCAAGGGACCATAATCACTACTCTTGTGGGAATGGGCTCCAACCAAGCCAGAACCCGAAGCAACAGATGGA